AGGGGGAAATACTGGATGTACTTAAATGTGAGGTAGAATTTGTCTATGTTTGAAAAATTATGAATATTTTACTAAAATAATCCATTCTGAAAAATTATGAACCCTTTGCTACATAGTTTGGTACCAAGTTACATCCATACAAATATAAAAAGAAAAATATCCAAACTGCAGGCTGCTCCTGTTGAATTTGTCAAAATAAAGGCTCTACCTCTTCTTTCCCCAGTCTTTTTGCAGAGAGCATAGCCCTTTCCCAGCAGGAACTCCCTTAAAAGACCTCTTCAAATTAAATTCTGAAGTTAGCACCTTCCTCCTGTCAGAGAAGTCTGCTCCAAGGTTATTCTAATCCAAAAGCCTTTTCCATATCAAAAGTCCAGTGCATGTAAACACAACAGCCAAATAAAAGGGACTTCAAAGCCCTTTTGAATCCTAGAACTCTGGCTCGCAGGTCAGCTACCCTAGGAACTGCAGCATTCAGACTACCCTGCTCTCCTACTCTTGTGGGAGAGGATGACTGGAAGCTCAATGCCCTAATTTGATCCCCAATTACTAAGAGCAGATAGGAATTTCATACCATCATGCAACCCACAGAGAGCAATCTATGTTTTTTTTCCCCAACCAAAACTGCGTTCCTGAGACCAATTCCTCTTCCTTAGCAACCGCGGTCCCAGTCCCACAGATACAGTTCTTCCAGAAAACCCTGCAATGAGTCAGTGTGGCCTCAGAGATTTCTGTTACTAGCTTTAAAGTGCTAGTACACCCCACTAAGAAGACAAACACAAAAGGGTCACACTTATAGACCTCAGAAATAGAAATATTTGGTATAAATTTAAGACACATTTTAAAAACACGACTTATATTATACATATTTTGCAAAGCTCATAACAATTCTTTCCTGATAAGATTTCTCACACATGCACAAGCTGAGTATCAGATAGCTTTTAACTGGTTCTCGGAGGGAAAAAAATACTTGTTTGCCTCGACTGCAGACTCTCTCAAGTTTTTATCCATTCTTGAAAAGCAAATCTTACAATCAAACCAGTGAGAATAGGGTTGGGGGGGGAACCCTCTTTCCTAGGTGTCTACTTTGTAGACTCAGTTAAAGGGAGTCATATCTTCAAAAACTTCTACAAGTGAAAATGTAACTCCCCTTTGTAATGGCAATAGAGAACGCTTCTAGTACTGCTCTTCTCTAGTATTTGACGATAGTGTCTGAAAATTGCAATGTCTAATATTGAAAACTTTTTATATTCCAATGATTTTTATTTTCTCCTAAGATGCAGAGAAATGATCCCTGCTGCTAATTCTGAAAAAGTTAGAGGAACAAAAGAAGCAAGCAGCAGCAGGTGACTCATTGCTCCTGGAAGTTATGAGTTCCTGGGAAAGCCAAGCTGTTATCCTTTCTTGCTGTAATGAGGATCACTGTAATCATCATACTGACGCCATTCATTCCATTAGTACAAATGAGTGCAATCAACAGCAAATAAATCCAAAAGAATTAGGGCTAGATAACAGTGACAGGTCAGACTCCATATGATCTGCATTCATGTGCGGCAGCAGATTCAGGAGGCACAAGATGAAAAGGGTGAGTATAGCAAGTGTGTTTTCTTCAATTAGAGGCATGAACAGTGGGCCACCATGACATAAGCCCATCCATACAGAGGCATGGTGAATGTGTATTTTGTAATGCACCACTGTATCAATGAAAAACTAGCACCAACTGGCATAAACTAGTCATATCAAGTCAAAGGATGCTGATATAACCTAGTATGGAAATTCAAAACTGGGCACCTCTATGGCACATTGGCACCAAAAAAATGACAAAGATCTGCAAAAAGAAGAACAGGAGTACTTGTGGCACCTTAGAGACTAACAAATTTATTAGAGCATAAGCTTTCATGGACTACAGCCCACTTCTTCGGATGCATAGATGAAGTCTGTGTTTCCATCTCTGTATCCAGTATGGAGAATGAGTGTGACACCTAGAGATCACGGACCAGAAGCCTGTAAGGGAAGTAGAGTGTCAATACCATAAAAGTTTCTTGGGCCACTCAAAGAACAGAAAAAGGCAAAATGATTTACAACATAGAGAAGACAAAAAAAGGGGGCAATGGGAAGGTAGGAGACACAACTCTCTTGGAATTCTTGCCATAATTTGTGGCCACAATTTGAAGGTGAAGTTCAGAAAAGAGTGTTATTTCCCAGTCACTTAATAAGTCAAAATGTAATAATAGCCTAATGTTTATATAGTAGAATCTTTCATTCTGAATGCTCCAAATGCTTCAGAAACACACATTGTCATTGAAACACCAGACATTTTAACAATACCACAAATCTGGAAATCATTTTCATTACAAAGAATCCCTCCAGAAGTTGAAGTCTGGATCTTCAACTTATGCCAAATATCTGAACTGTATTGTCTGTATCTCACTTAAATAGAAAACACCATGGGAAAAGGACCTTATCTCCTCTCAGTGGGCCAGATTCTGCCATGGTAATCATACCTTACCTCCTTGAGAGATCTAGCAAACTCAGTGTATTACTCGAGGTAAGACTGAGTACAAGTATGGGAGCAGTTTGTCTCTCCAGCAATACACCGACTGTACTGAATTGGCCCAGATTATGATTTCATTGGGACTCCCTGGGGCCTAGGGTGTGAATGGGGGTATCAGAATCCGGCTCTAAATAAACACCACCACAATTTGGAGCAGGGACTTTTGTTTTACTCCATGTTATATAAAGTGACATGTATATTTACAGCATATTTCTATATTATAAAGCATTTTACCACATTCTGTGCTTTGTAAACCTATTTAGCAGTGGGCAGACCAAGCAAGTAGCATGGGATTTACACTGTTTAATTGCTTAACAACAACAACAATACAAGTAATGAAAATATTATTGTTATTCCCCAAAGATTTGTTTGGTGACACTGGAGGCAACATGGCTTAGAATTTGTAGATGTTACACAAACGGAACGTGTAAAGGGACATGGATGGAAATAAATAAATTGAATAGATTCAATACCCTTGCTCACATTGGGCTGTATTACTCTATAAGGGTGTCAGAATCTGGCCCATAAAGAACAAGACAGCACTTCCACAAACTGCAAAATAGAAGAAAACTATTTAGACATCACAGTGGAAATCTCCTATCCAACATTCAACTTGGAGACATTCTAAACAAAATGACAGCGTATTTGGACTTGAACTCCATTCTATGTAAAAGATACTCCATAAATACCTCATGGAAGTGCATATAAAGAGAAGTGAGAATCTGTAACAGCATTACATTTAGATAAGGTCATAAAGTGTTTCTGATAAAAATGCTGACAGATGATTGCTTCTATTTCCCTCATTTTATAGGTCAACGAATAGTGATCATAATGCCAGACATCTGAGTACATGATCATTCAATCATACTTTAGCAAAGCCAAAAGAGCTTAGAAGTACCCATATGGTCCACAGCTGGTTTTATCCAGTAGTAAAGCAAATGTGCATTGGTACAGCAGAGGCAAAGGCTGTACTGAGATGACACTAACAATTTAGAAACTACTGAATGGAGCCCGGCAGTCCATGCTATCCTGATTGTTCGTCTACAGCAAGGAATGATTTGTCAAGTGAACCAGATTGCTTATTCAATGACATATAAATCAGGACCTAACAGCTTTTCAGCAGCTCACCCGCATCACTAAAATAGTGTGGTCTGCATTGCTGCGCAGGCTGATTTGAAGAACTGGAAATCAAAACACACATACACAAAAAGGAAATTAAAATCTCTGTTTTGGCAAAAACGGAAGCAGGCAGCTTATATATTTTTGTATATTCCCATGAATCAGTGCTGAAACAGAGTATAATTCCATATGAACTCCAATGGACTACGTCACTGGTTTCGGCTGAATTATACTTGCCATTTTATATTGGTTGTATATTTAATTGTTTGGCCTTGATCATCTCTTGGGTTACACAGAATGACTGAGGCCAAAAAATCTGCCCCTTGCACGGTGCACCCCCAAAAAATGGTGCCAAGTTATATGAAAAATAGGGGTGTGGGGCTGTGGATGAGGGGCTTGGGGTACAAGAGGGGGCTCTGGGCTGGGATCGAGGAGTTCAGAAGGTGGGAAGGGGATCAGGGCTGTGGCAAGGGGTTGGGGTGCAGGGCTCAGGGGTGCAGCCTCTGGGCTGTGCTTACCACAAGCAGTTCCCAGAAGCATGTCCCCCCTCCAGCTCTGAGGCATGGCCAGGCAGCTCTGTGTGCTGCCCCATCCGCAGGCACCACCCCTGCAGCTCCCATTGGCTGGGAACCACGGCCAATGGGAGCTGCGGGAACAGCGCCTGCAGATTCTTACTTGCATTCAAGCTAATATGTTTCATTTCAAACACTATATTACCTCTGCTTTAGACAACTATGGCAACATTTATAAATATCTAACCTTCACAAAATCTACAACTTTATGCTGCACCTGCCTGCTTTTCAGATAGCCCTAAGAATTCAGCTGTGATAGTGGTCTGCTACCACTACAACACTGACACCCATACTGCCAACTGGAACAGAGCCCTACTTGCACGTAGAACAAAGAATGTCAGTCATAAATAAATGCACAAGGGAGATAAATGCACTAGGGAGAAATCTGCAAGTGGAGGAAGTGGGAGGGAGGGGCAAGGGCAGTTTGACAGTGCCAAAAGTTATTCCTTCAGGTGGAAGTAATATGGGAAACTGGGGAGGTGGGAAGGGTTTTTAATACTGTGCATATGCTGGATTTTCCTGATGAGTGCATTTTACAAATCAACAGTTACATTAATCAAATAATAAAAACCACACCGTGATATTTAATAAGAAACCTCAATGTCAGTAAAATCAAGTCAAATAAGTCCACTTTTGTTAGACTTTGTGAAAAGGACAGAATTAAGAAAGAAAATGAAAAAATGACATTGCTCTGAGGTTAAGGATTTGCCATATTCAGCCTTGTACTAGTACCAAAAAAAGAGAGGCCAAGTAAGAGACTGCCTTCTTCCAGGCTTTGGGCATCACCACGAAGATTTCCCGGGGTATCATTGAAATCCTGAGTGATGTGCAGCTGATCAAGACTGGAGATAAAGTGGGAGCCAGCGAAGCGACTTTGCTGAACATGTTGAATATTTCCCCATTCTCCTTTGGGCTGATTATCCAGCAGGTGTTTGACAACGGCAGCATTTACAATCCTGAAGTGCTGGACATCACTGAGGAGACTCTGCACAGACGCTTCCTGGAAGGCGTTCGTAACGTAGCTAGTGTTTGTCTGCAAATTGGCTACCCAACCATCGCTTCTGTGCCTCACTCCATCATCAATGGGTCCAAGCGAGCCCTAGCTGTGGCTGTGGAGACTGAATACACCTTCCCACTGGCTGAAAAGGTAAAGGCCTTCCTAGCTGACCCCTCAGCCTTTGTGGCTGCTGCCCCTGTGGCAGCTGAAGCTGCAGCTCCTGCCAAAGAGGAAGTAAAGGAGGAATCCGAGGAGTCTGACGAGGACATGGGATTCGGTCTCTTTGACTAACTCCTGCCACGCACTAACCAACCACTTCATCAACTGGTTTAATTAGAGAAATAAAGTGCTATTTTACACCCAAAAAAAAAAAACCTAGTGGGCCAAGTGATACATTACCATGGCTAATATCCTGTGAACAAGGAGAGCTGGAAATGAATGCTTTATGCCAGTGGATTGCTGGGGGTCTTATCCTTCAGACCTAACTCTGACAGGTCACGTGATAGGACTAGACTCTTACATCATTTAGTTATCCATTTTGCTTATTTCCCCCTGCTCCCCCTTTCATTTCCAAGATTATTTTAGCAGTTGATATCTGAAGCAAGCATGGAATCTCTCTCTACTTTCCAAATATATAAAGAAGCGATATCAAACTTAAGCCATTTATGAGATATCAGCCACTAAAATCATATCCAGATCGAAGTGGGTGGGAAAAGAAGCTGGTAATCAGAATGATGTAATTTTAAAAGGACCAATAACTCTCAAAACGCTCAAGTTAGAAATGCTTTATCAGTCCAGTATAAATGTTTTAAGGGTTAGAAAACTTTTCCCTGCACCAGTGCTGGACTACAGCTCAGAAAGGTTTACTCTCTCTATAAGATATTTTCAGTCTAGTGTAGGAAATGATATTCAGTGCTAAATTGATTAATGTTAAAATAGCATCCTTTCATAAACATGGTTTAGAGATTTTGCTGTGAATTTTGCTTTGCTGAAGGGATAAGGTAACTTTCAAACTCCATGCAGAAAGAAGTCCTTGTTTGCAGATGCAATTGGCTTTATGTAGTCACGTGTAGTAATATTCAGTCTCCAAATGTATCCTTGCAAAGGTACTACTGTACAAGCCATGGAAGTTTCAAGACAAAATATAGACAAAAGGTCCCTGTGAAACAGCACACTACAGCTTTCAGCACCCTGTGTGTGGTTAGCGGCAGAACAGAGCTCTGCTTGTGATCCACAGGAAGTTTGAATAGTTAGCTCCCCAAACGTAGTTTACTGCCAGTCTCCCTTGGACAAATCACGCATTGTTGGGGGAAAAAAGCTGCTCTGTAAAATGAAGCACGGTCTCAGAACTACTGGTCTTAGTCTTATTACTATCCTCATAATTGCAGGAAAGCACTCAGACCAGGAACCATTTCAATATAATATCTCAATTTATACCTCTAGAAAATGTGATTTGTTAACGGTTTTCTATTAAATCCCTGGATACCACTAGTTATTTCTGTAATCATTTAGATTAAATACATAGGAAAAAAACTACAGGGGCAGATCCTGGTGTAAATCAGAGTAGCTCCACTGAAGTCTGCAGAGTTTTGCCACTTTACACAAGCAGAACATCTGACCCAAAGTCTCTTGATTTTTTTTTCAGTTAATTCCATATGCAACATTTTACTGGAACCCATGTATGAGCAAAGGGGAGGAAGAGTCACAATTTTACTCATCCCCAAACCCTTTCACTTGGCATTATGGGATTCAGTCTCATTTTAATCTGGAACTGGAAATAATTTAGGAGTTTCCTAAACCTATGCAGTTGCAAATGAGCTGTTTAATCCCTTTGAGGCAGCTACTTACCCCTGTGACCCGCCAAATCATTTTAGATATTTCACTAAATGCAATCGCTATGCAGCACTTTGGCTGTAAGGATCCCACTGAAGCTACAGCAATTTTAGGTCTAATTTTATTCATTTACTTTGGAAGGTCACTGTGCTCAGAAAACCGCAAGAAACTTGTTGCAGGCAACAAGTGAAAACAAGGAATAAAAGTAAATAACTTTGTTTAAAAGAGGAAAGCATAACATTCCTTTCCTAACCAATTTCACAGAAAGTCACATTGCAGTGTGTGTGACTCAAACAAACTTGTTCTGATTTTAATGTATCTCTGAGCAGATATTCTGCTAGTCGACACAGTTAAAACAGTCTGAATTTAAGTTTAATGGTACCTACTCCTGAATCCCCAAGTCTACCCAAAACAAATTATAATGAGCACGTCAGTGCTATAATTGCACTGCAGCCAAAGAAGCAAAGAACAGAAAAGAAAACTTCATGTTTGTTTGTTTGTTTTGCTGAATCAAATCTTCATATCATATATTTACCAAAGGTTTTAGACAGACAATTATTGTACACTATTTGTTTCTAGATGCATGATTAGGCCATACGAATTCCCTTGCATTGCTGCCCAAATTTGGGAACTTTTATTACAAGACTTGCCATCCCCTTGCCCCAGTTCAAAATTAGCTTTCTGTTCCAGTTCACCTCTGGGGGGTCATTAGGAAGATCTGTAAAGTGTCTCTGAAAGCAGTAATTGGAGGACTATTAGGTATTTAAAGTAAACATTGAAAGACATAGTTCCTTTAATGCTGACTATGGGGTTGGATTCTGTAAGTGTTACAAAGTTACAGGTAATTTTATGTCAAGGATAAAACTATATATTAAAATCCTGCTGTATGATGCTTCAGTAGCCATGGCAATTTTCTGGCATGACAGAAGTTGGAATTACTTAACTTTACAGAGCTGCATCAAAAAGCATCACTCCATCCATATATCCATCCAGGATATTTCAAGGGTGTCTATCAGTGTGATATGTGAGCATTAGCCGGCACAGGAAGGTAAAAGTGACATGCCTGAAGGCGTTCTACTCTCAGAGTCTGATCTCCAGCTGGTGCAAATCAGTGTAGCTCCATCAAAGTAATAGAGTCGTAGAATCATGGGAATGTAGGGCTGGACGGGGACCTTGAGAGGTCATCTAGTCCAGCCCCCCTGCGCTGAGGCAGGACCAAGTATACCTACCACGCCAACCAGTTTTTGTCTAATCTGTTGTGAGGTGTTCACCCCACACTTGCCCGGAAAGGGTTAACGAAGATTGAGAAGGAGGCCAATTAACCCAACAGGCCACAGCTGAGAGGAATCAGATGGCTAAGCAATCCCCTGATTGAATGAGGAAGCCCAGCTGAGGAGGAATTATAAAGGCAGGAAATTGGCAGCAGAGAGACCAGGGAAGTCTGTAGTCACTCCCTACAAGGCAGTGAATGGAAAGACTGTCTAGGACTGCTAGCAACTAAAGACTGATACCCTCAAAGGGAAAAAACACAGATAGTGACCTGCCTGGAGGGCTCAGTCAGGAAGAGGCGGCAGCAGCCTGTGGAGCGAGAAAGGGGCTGCAAACCCAGAGAGAGAGGTTGAAAGACAGCATGCAACAGGGGTGTTGACCTCACAAGCTATTCCCCAAAATGACCAGGAGGAGGTGCCATCCTAGCAGTGAATGGACCACCAAATCACATATGTTCTTAAAAACTTCCAATGACAGGGATTCCCCAATCTCCTTTGGAATTTCCTTAGATAATTTCAAAACATTGCATTTTGATTTTGACCTTTTCTTTTCTAAAAACGTATTTTAGTCTATATCTACTAACGTTTCACAACACCAAAACGTTCCAATTTCAAAACCTTTTTCCAAACCTTTTTCAAGTCAGAAAATGTATTGAAACCAACCCAGTTGCATGAATAATTTTGGCAAAATGACATTTTTATGCCAAAAACCCAGCACTGGTAATGACATCACACTTTCTTCTTTTCGCATTAGAACAATTTGATCAAACAAACCCCTGGATGGTAAATATGTATTAGAGCGGGGGTTCTCAAACTGGGGGTCGAGACCCCTCAGGGGGTTGCGAGGTTATTACATGGGGGGTCATGAGCTGTCAGTCTCCACCCCAAACCCTGCTTTGCCTTTAGCATTTATAATGGTGTTAAATATATGAACAAGTGTTTTTAGTTTAGAAGGGGGGTCACACTCAGAGGCTTCCTGTGTGAAAGGGGTCACCAGTACAAAAGTTTGAGAACTACTGTAACATTATTTCCTCTAATACAGCATAGTATTAGTTTTCAATTCTCATCAGGTGTAGGCATACTTTAGCTGATCAATTTTTACATAGTTACTGCAAACTGAATGATAAAATCTGCTGTCAATTAGATTTATTGACTGCAACATTTTGATAGAGCAAGTGTATTTACATGTGTTTTCATGGCCGCTACGATTATATACAGTTACTTCCTTTGCATTAATTGTCTATTTTTAGCTACTTCTAAAAGCCAAACCGGTATAGATTAACAGCTGATGAAAACCGCATCTTTCTTCCTTCTTTCCACCATGTTCCAGCCAGAGAGGATAACACAGAGTTAGAATGGATATAAACCCAGATTTATTTAATTGGTGCTCTAGTTCATTTGGCCAGCCAAAAGATTTCAGTAATAACCAGTTTTATACCATGAGGTATTTGCACAGAGCATTCAGTAATCTCAAAGGATTTATTTAAATCTATGGACACTTTTAATATTTTATGCTTTGTAAGAATACATTTGAAAGTTAAGCCAGATGATAAATATATTTTGAAATGCAGGGTTATTTTGTTCCATATGTTACAGCTGTAGAAGCCTGATTTTTAAACAACGGGGTAAGGTTTCTTTTACAAAAGAGTAAAACCAGAGCAGCTCTATTGGAGTCAGTTTACACTGGTAAATATATTCCTATGAAGTACAAGGGCCAGATTCTCACAGCGGATTCTGATATCAATGGGACCACTCACAGTGAGTCAGAGGCTATTCAAAGTAAACAGAATCTGGCCATAAAGGATTAAGATCCTTCAAATAGTTGGATAAATTATTTCAAGCACTGAATATGTTGTACAAAAAATTAACGCTATGAAACTGGTTAGTACTAAAATCTTTTGGCTCATCAAATGAACTAAAGCGCCCATTAAACAGATCTGAGTTCATTTCTAGTCTAACTTTAATTCACCCATAATTCCATTTAATCTATCAACAATTTAGTGTCTAAATCTAAATTTAGTCCACAGCACTAGATTGGGACTCATGAGATCTTATTTTAATTTATGGCTCTGCAACAGACTCAGCGTTACCCTGGGCAAGCTACTTACCTCTTTCCCTCAGCTCCCCATCTGCAAAATGTGGATAATACTTCTCTGCATCACAAGGCTTATCCGAAGCCTACAGTGCTGAGGGCCAGATACATGGATATCTGTTTTATCATTCAGTTGCAGTAAACACATGAAAACTGATCTGCTCAAGCATGCATACACCTG